TAGTGATCACTTTTTGGGTAGTTTCTATGTCCCAGGGATTGCACTATGTATTACAGATAAGAAGATAATTAGACGAGTTTATAATCTAGCAGAGGAGACAAAGATGAAACCAGCTAGTCATAGCCAAGGTGAAACCAAAAAAGTAGGTACTGGGAAATTAGAGAAAAAGATTAAATTTAATTTAGGGGACTAAAATGTTGATAAAAGCGATGGCATTTGAGAGCAGCCCTACAGGATATGTTGGGATAGAATAGCATGAAATATGCTATCACTGAAAATTATTCCACATTGAAGTCCTTGAAATTAAAAATTCTTCCATACAAGTTGTGATTTCTCCCACTACTTCTTTCATACTGAACCTGCTCTGTCTTTCTGGAGACTTCCATTCTTACCCCATCTTATTCTCATGGCCCTTCATGCACATCCAGGTGGGATTCCTCAGTCAGAGTTCTCAAACAATTTTTGTCAGCACTCTCTTGTCCTCAGGCTTCTGTATTTCTGTCTTGCCCATCTCCAACCTTGCCTTGCTGATATCAAGGTCATTCAGTTTGAGGTCTCTCAACAACCTTCCATTCCAACTCAACATTTCTTGGTCTTCCCCTCATTCTCCCCATGAGTAACTCCACGTCCTGTCCTTTCCGTCCCCTTCCAGGACCTAGTTCTATGTCTTATCTCCCCACTTGTATCTTCAGTTTTCATTGCCTGTAAATGACTCTTTTTAGGGGCAGATCCAGGTTTTGTAGAGCCTGAAGCTTATTCAATCTCTGGAGCCCTCTTCAAGAAAAAGAACACAAAATTACAAACACCAACTTAGGAACAAAAGTTAATATTTACAATTGACCCTTGAACAATGTGGTGTTAGCGGTCCTGATCCTCCACACAAAAATCTGCATTAACTTTTGACTCCCCAACTTAACTACTAATAGCTTACCAGAAGCCTTACTGATAACATGAACAATTAACAGATATTTTATATGTCATATGTATTATATACTGTAGTGTTAGAATAAAGTAAGACAGAAAAAAGAAAATGTTACCAAGAAAATCATAAGGAAAATACATTTACAATGCTGTACTGTATTTATCAGAAAAAAATCTGCATATAAATGGACCTGCACAGTTTAAAGCCGTGTTGTTCAAGAGTGAACTTTATTTAGAAGAGGCCTGTGCAAGTGTAAGGGGCCCTGAAGGTTAAGCTTCACAATAAATCTACCTCTGTCTGCACTATAATAAAAACAAAACAAAACAAAACCCTAAAGCTTCCCTTCTCTTTTTCTCATCACTCTGAAACCTTTCCTAGTAGTAGTCTACATACAGTGTCTGTGCTCCTATTCCGTGTCCATTCTATCGCAATGGTTTTCTCTAAAACACCATTGACCTCCTAATCCCTAAGGCCCATAGATTTTTCTTGGTCATGATCTTTCTTGGCCTTTCCACAGATAATCTGACACACAGGTCATCCTCTGACTTTTCCAATGATTCCTTTACCACTAAATTAGCAATGGTGAGCCTTACTCAATGGCCTGAGTTGTCTTCCTTCCCCTGTGACTCAATGGTCATACTCATACCTATGGCTTCTACTATCATTCTGTGTGGCCGATCTGCCATTATATCCCTTGCACTGACTTCCCTTATAAACTCAAGGCCTATAATACAAATTCTCTACCTGAGGTCCCACCATCACCTCAAATTCATCTTTTTTCTGGCTGTATCAATAGCATCACTCCGTCCCAGCCACCTGCTCAAGAAATGTGAAAATTACTTTAAATAAAACACCTCTCTCCCTCCCTTCCTCCATCAACTCTAACATCTATCAGTTCTACCTCAGAAATATCCCTAGCATCAGTGTAGTCCTTTCTAGTCCCACTGCCACATTTCCTACTTAAGTGTTTCTATATTACTTGGACCAATCCAAAAGACTCTAATGTTTGGAGCTGAAGAAACTCAGAGCTGGATGTGACTTGCCCTATTGAATTAATGGCAGGTCAGATCTAGAATCTGGGTTTCCTGCTTCTTCTTGGTGGCTACTTCACAGTTCTAAGCCCACTGAAATCTATTTTGTATACACTAATGCCAGGTTAATCTTAAAAGTGATGACTCACCAAATGAAAGTGTGGTCCCTAGCATGGTATTTCAGGGCCCTGAAATCAGGTATCAGATAATATCTCAACTTTATCTTCTTCTTGCAGTGTATTGTATAATCAAGTGGGCTCTTGGATGTTCTCTGAACATGACCATACTTTTATGCAGGCAATTTCTGGAATTAATTTCTTCCCTGCTATGTAGTAAGTAGGTCAGTAGTTTGAACTTCTTATCAATTATGGTCTGATGTTGTCTTTGTGTGTTTGTAGTAAACATTGTGGTTGTCTCAACATCCATCCCATCCCAGATGATTGAAAGTCCAATGAATGAACCTATCCATTTACCATGATTGGTTTGGGGATGGACATGTGATACATTTCTGGCCAATGACACAGAAGGGAAGTCAGTTGGGCAGAATCTTGGGAAAGTCCCCATGTCTTAGGAGACATTGAAGAAATAGTCCTTTCTGACTCTGGATATTGTCATGGCTGAATATGACCCACAAGAACAGCTATGGCCACCTTGCTCTCAGCCTGACAAAGAAGATGGAGAGAATCTGAGCTTTTGATATTATTGAAGATCTAATCAACCAATCCTGGAGGCTGCCCTGACTCTGAACTTCCTATTATGTGAAGTAATACATTTCCTTATTGTCCAAGCCACTTTAAGTCACAGTTTTCTGTTATCTGCAGCCTAAATCATCAGGAAACAATGTTTTGTTTCCAATGCTAGACATTAAGCTTCTTGAATTCAGTTTCTATTTCTGCCTAGCCCTCTTATGGCTTGGCACACAGCAGATGCTCAAAAAATGATTGTGAGGGGTGTCTGGGTGGCCCAGTCAGTTAAGCGTCTGCCTTTGGCTCAGGTCATGATCCCAGGGTCCTGGGATGGAGCTCCACATTGGGCTCTCCACTCAGCAGCGGGGAGCCTCCTTCTCTCTCTCCCTCTGCCTGCCGCTCCCCCTGCTTGTGCATTCTTTCTCCCTCTCTCTGTCAAATAAATAAAATCTTTTTTAAAAGTACTTTAAAAAAATGATTGTGAAATTGATATTTATATATTTATTTCTGATACAACTAGTAAAAGCATTTGCAATTTATAAAGCTCTTTAATTTACTCATACCAATTTAGAGATAACAAAATAAGGCTTAGATAGATTAAATAACGTGTACAGGGCATTTTATTTCTCAAAGTCATATAAGTTCTGAACAGGTTGTTCCCCTTTGTCTGAAATCCTCATCCATGACTACCATGCCTATTAGGGTCCCAAGAGTACTGGAGACTGATGGAAAAAGCAAGCAGCAAGCCATTCCAGTGTTTAACCCAGCAATAATGCCAATACAGTATCCTAGTTATTTCTGACCTAGAGCTCAGAACTGGAACCCGTTCTCTCAGTCCCAATTCATAACACTATCTCTAGTGCCAGGACCATGAATCCCCATGAATACAACACTTTATACGCAGAGGCATTTTCCCAGGAAAATGGATCACAGCTTTCATTAAATTCTCAAGAGGGTCTGTAACTCCCTGAAAGGTTAAGAAGCACTATAACATGTATCTCAGAAGTAAATGAAAAAAATGTTTAAAATATTCCTCATTCAGTGAACCTAATATCTCCCCCTGTTGCTCTGTATTATGTCATCTAAGGGACCAGTAGACCAGGAATCACTTGCAGATCATGAAGCAGGAGACATTTAGGCAGAGAGGGTTCAATACCTCCAGTCAAGACCAGTGTAAAAGGAAAATGCAGAGCCCCTTGTTGAAAAGTTATTAAGGACTTCAAAAGGGCTACAGCAGAACATTAAACCAAACATAAGGTCCTTTTAAGCTAGCAGCCCTGTGCAACTACAGAGGTCGCACACCCATGAAACGGATATTGCTTCTAGTAGATATTACTAAACATACTATTGCCTGCCCAGTTATGCTATAGTCCTTTGGACTGCCATGCAGTCCTTTATCCATCTAGAATGTGCCACAGATTGTATTAAGAGCTGGGCATTCCTGATAGGAGCATTCATTCAATAACACTGGGTGTCCACAAAAGGCCTTGTTCTAGATCCTGGGGATAGAACTCTGAATAAGACATTCGTGTTGGGCAGAGACAATGAACAAATAAAAATATCAGGCAGTGATAGGTGCTGAGTAAAAAAATTAACATAGGGTTATGTGATATAGGGTGACTGGTTGGCTAGTTTAGATTGGGTGGTCTGGGAGGCCCTCTCTGAGAGGACATTTGAGCTAAGACTTTACTGAAAATAGGCCAGTCCTGCCTCCATGGGAGGTGAAGGGAATTTCCTTAAGCTTGGCAAACAGGACAAAAATCTCAAGGCAGGAAAGGAAGAGAGGGAAAGGGGGCTGGCAGGAACCCAGGCTAGTTAAGTGGTGGCTATGGGGTTAGAGTAGCGAGGATGAAAGTAGGTGTGCCATTGCGTCCAAAGCGCAGCCAGCAGCCCGCCGCCCACCTCCCACTAGGGCGCCGCCTGGGTCAGGTGAGTGGGTGGCTCTGGCAGAGCCTAGCGGAGGAGCCGCCCCCAGGGGCCGGCGCGCGTCCGCAGCCGCGCCGACGTGGCCGGCGCTATAGGCCGCGCACGTGGCCGGCCCCTCGGCTTGGAGGCGGAGGCGCGCAGGGGGTTTCCTAATCCTCCAGGTGATCAGGCCCCGAGGAGCCAGCCGGCCCCGAGGAGCCAGCCGGCCCCGAGCCTCGCGTCCGAGGGCAAGAGGAGCGAAGGAGATGGACCCGGCAGTAGAGGGCTGGGTCAAGGCGAGGAGGGGGCGGCCAGGCGAGCCCGCGCGCAGGCCGCGTGCACGCGCCG